GATCGCAATAAAGTTGCATATGTCGGGGCATTTCACCGTGTGGAACATCTTCCGGATTTTCTTGCAATTTCAGCGTTTGATAATCAATGCAGTAGCATTTGTCCGGCATAATATGGTACGGATCAATGGGACATCGTTGTAGCTGTGCCGTTTGATCACTAAAATCAGACCCTTCGTTCGATAATTTTATAAAAATTCGATAAATTTAGAAAATTTTAAAAATTTCCGCAAAATTTTGGCTTTTTTCCGCAAATGAATCATTTTTTTTTTTTAAATTTACAAAGTGTAGTTTTCCACAAAATTAATTTTTTGAAAAATAATTTTGACGAGAAGGCTAAAAACTTACGCTCCACATGTTCGGGGCAATGTAAAACCATCTAGGCCAGATTTCAGTTCAATATTATTGACTGTATGTCGACAAGTGCGGCACTGAATCGAAACACGTGTTGCTTTTGATCGGACTTGTGAAGCGGCTACGATAATTCCGGATATTTTTACCAAATGCGATACATGCGCACTCTGCAAAAAAAAAAGGTTTTTTTTTTTCATTATGAGCATAAGAAGTGCTTAACTTAGGGGATTGTTATACCTTGTTGTTTGTTCTTTGTATGGTTAATAACCCAAATTTGAGGTTACTATAAAGACTTGTACTGGTATATTGTGCGCAGCAAAGCAGCCTCTGCTGCATAGAAGAGTTTAGTATTTGGAGAAAAAGAAGAAAGGCTGAATAATCCCCGCCCGGGCCGAACGTATTAGCTGATATATTCTCTGGCGGCCTCTGAAGGGCCCAGCGTATTATTATTGTTATTCTGGTTGTATCCTAAAGTTCCACAGATGCCACGCAATATACTTAAACAATAATTTATGGTTTTTTTTTTTTATTAGAAACAGCGTAAGGAACAATTGCGTCACTATGATGCAATACCCCGGTTCAACATTTGGACATCATACTCCCATGAAAACTTGCAATCTTAGTAATCTCTGGGTAAAAAAGCACTCCTCCCCATCCTCGGGACTCAGAGCTATTTCGGAGCTACTCTAGAAATCCAAATTCGATCAATAGAAAATATTTCGAGAATTAAGTCCCGTAAAGCATTTTTTACCTTCAACTGTCGAATACTGGCTGCAACTTCATTGCTCTGCAGCGTCACTTGCACATCATGAATTTCGATACCCTTCGCAGCGCTTTCCATCGCCTCATCAGCAGTAAGTTTCCCAGCTTCTTCAAGCTGCAAAAAAAAAAAAATTTTTTTTTTATAACCTGAAGGTAAAATTCAGTAGTATCTGAGAACTTTTGGCAGCACAGATTCCCGAAAAAATTGAGTAAAAAAAACCTAAAAAATTACTGATATTACAAAAAATCCAATAGAGCGACTTGAAAAATGTCAATATTTATAAAAGAGATGAAGAAAAAATTGAGTAAAAAAAACCTTGAAAAATCAGTGATATTACAAAAAACTGAATAGAAAACCTATAAAAATATCAACAATTGCAAAATAGTTAGACGAAAAAATATGCGATATTTATTATTATTTTTATTAACAGCAAAAAAAGTCAAAAACTGATAGTACCAGTGAATGTAAGAACAGATTTTTTAACTCGATTCAAGCAAAAAACTGAGCTAGTGAAAAACGACAGAAAAAGACTACTTTGGCTGGAATCCAACAATATTTTTCAGCAAATTTTGCTGTTAGTTAAAAAAAAAACCATTCTAAAAATTTGTAGGAAATCTGGTTTTATTAAGCTAAGTTACCCATTTTTAGCTGAGTTACCTATTTCTAGCTATATTGGACCATTTTTTTCCTTATTTAACACGGTACTTACTGCAAAAAAATAAAAAAAATAAAATGAAAGAAGTGAAAATTTTGAGCTAACAAGACCAAGAGAGCACGGATAATATCAATATTGGAGATATTTCCAGATATCGGAAGTAGGTCTGTCACAGGCCCTAAAATTTACCACCCCCATCTACAGTTACCCACAATCGTAGTACTGATGAGGTCCAGTTGTGGTAACGGTAAGAAATGTATACGACTTAATGGACCGAAACATTTCTTACTATTATAATAAATTTACAAATTTCTAATTCTCATTTCCCACCTTCCATTTCGATTCTTCTGCTTATTTCAACAGTTTTTAATGGACTTTTCTATTACTAGGAGATGAAAAATACAAAATTTGTAAATTATAAAAAATTTGATCTAAGCGGGGCACCTTTGTAGTACCGATGATCAGGAAAAGCTGAGTAAAAACTACACAAAATTGGATCAGATTAAAAGTTTACAGCGGCCAAAATACGAGTTGGATACTGCTGCATTTTGTTTGCAATTTCTTCGTTGAAACCCTTCAAATCATCCAGCGAAACCTCTACATAATGCTTGCCAAGAGAACAGTTCCGTTTCAGCAATTCTCTGAAAATCCGAGAAAAAATAAATTTTGGAAAATGTAATAGAATAAAAAAAATAGGATGTATTAACAACGGATGAAAGAAGATAAACAGTAAAAAAAGGTAGGAGATGAGAATTACAAAATTTGTAAATTATAAAAATTAATTTAGTGGTAAGAAATGTTTCGGTTCAGTAAAACAGCAAAACAGAAAAAATTCTGAATTAATATGAATTAATAAAAAATAAAGTAAAAAAAAATTCCAACGAAAAACGTGGAATTTAACGAACCGATAAACCAGACCGAAGCCACCAACGTTATATTCACGAAGAAATTCCCGGAACAAATCCACGGTTTGTTTATGCTCAATGATCAGCTCTCGACCCTCATCCGGTGGCCCATCCTCATCACCCGTCGCAAAAAATCGTTGCTGCAAAAACCGAAAAATATAGAAACATACGTTTTTTTAGAAGTTCGGTATTCAGTACTGTAATAAAATTCTCGTTTTCGTACTTATTTTTCCTGTACCAGCAATATTTCTACCTCTTGCATTATATAGTTCGTTCTATTTTTGCCTTCTTTTTTTTAAGTTCTTCATATTACTTTCATGCTACAATCATGCGATAATCAGATTAGCATAAAAATCGCAGAATCGGTGTGGATGTCCAATGTTAGTGATGTTACTGGGATGCTCTCACACACTCAGCACACTTATGCCAGGCTCTTTTTTATCCACCTTGAACGGCATGTCTTTAATTTAGTAAGCATCGTCTGTTTGATGTCGGAATCTATGAATAAAAGCTAAAGAAAGCAAAAAGCAAATAAAAACTGAGCTTATGCAAGTGGGAATTGTATTTTATAAAAGCCCCTATGCAATAGTGGGCATCCCTATTTATGAAACTGATGCTTAGGTAAAA